GTCCTCCCAGCAGAGGGGCTCCAGCCCTCCCAGCATCTCCGGGGCCTCCTCTGGCCCCGCTCCACCAGGTCCATGGAAGGCAGGTGTTGCTGCAACCGGCCTTATAAAACCTCCCAGCTTGCTCCTGAAGCTGCAGGAAGGGGAATAAAGAGCCTCTCTGATTGCATCCTCGAACCCGCTGAGCGCCAGCTCCGCTCCCTGTCCCCTGCCTCAGGGACACCCGAGGATGGGCACTGGGCTGCTGCCTCCTGCCAGCGCCTGGCACGCCGCGTGTGACGGCGCCCGGGTGGGCAGGCTGCCGTCTGACGGGAGGTAAATGCCAGTGCCTACGTGCGCCCGGGATTAGTAGCTGCGACGGGAAGAGCTGGAGCCAGCGACAGCTTGTGTTATGAGAACTGCCTGTGCCGCAGACGGCTGTCACGGGGGGCTGGGGGTCCTCTGGGAGACCCCAGAGGGCGGCTGCCACCCATTCCACGGGGAGTCGCTTTTATTATCTGGCCTGAGGTCAAGCAATGCCAGGGTATGTGGGCCTGGTGAAGCTGAACTTTCCACTTTATGGCTTGGGAGCGTGGGGAAGAAGGGGCTCAGAAAGGGAAACTGGGGCACGCAAAGAGCAAATGATCCCCCAGAGTGCAGGGAGGGCTGGGAACTGGTCCCCTGCTCCTGCAGGGGTCTCCTCCTGCAGAGAGCATCCTCCAGTCATGTAGCCAACGTGCGTTTTGCTCTCTTCTCCTCTCTAGGCTTCCACGTGATCCCTTCAGTATCCAACATCGTTCCCGAGAGCTGCCTGCTCATTGTGGTGGGCCTTTTGGTTGGGGGGCTCATCAAAGGGGTGGGTGAAAAGCCCCCCATCCTCAAGTCGAACATCTTCTTCCTCTTCCTCCTCCCACCCATCATCTTGGATGCCGGCTACTTCCTCCCCTTGCGTCAATTCACCGAGAACCTGGGCACCATCCTCATCTTCGCCGTGGTGGGGACGCTCTGGAATGCCTTCTTCTTGGGTGGCCTGATGTACGCCGTGTGCCAGCTCGGCGGTCCCGGCCTGAACCACATCGGCCTCCTGGCCAACCTGCTCTTCGGCAGCATCATCTCGGCCGTGGACCCGGTGGCCGTGCTGGCCGTCTTTGAGGAGATCCACATCAATGAGCTGCTCCACATCTTG